GGGGGGGGGGGGGGGCCTTTGTTTTGCAAGGTAATTTTTTTACACAAAGTTGCAACTCGATCTTTCATTTTTACACTACTAATGTGTACCATGAAAATCTCTATATAGTCCAAAAAAGTAGGTAGTATGAAAGGAAAGTATACTACAACATTGAGAAGACTATTAAAAAATTAATACTTGTGCCACCTTCAGAATATCGCTCTCTCCCGCGTACACCTCAGGAGTCTGCACTGCCCGGCCCCGCTGCCCCCTCGGGCGGGTCTGGGGAGCAGGAAGGGGCGCAGGGGGGGAAAGGGGGGGCGCAGGGGGAATGGGGGGGTGCAGGGGGAAAAGGGGGGGGGCGCAGCCCCTGCCATCCCCTCCTGAGATCCCCCTGCTCGGGGCCAGCGGCTGCCCAGGCCGGAGCTGAGCCCGGCCCAGAGCCCAGCCCAGCTGGGGACGGAGGAGGAGGAATAAAGCAAGTCTGGCCCCTGCTGGCTCCGGGGACAGGGCTCAGGCCACTGCAATCACACAAACTAGCTCTAGAAGGCTTGATGAGCACGCCACGGACTCGACTGCAATAGCTTTGTCAAACATTAGCCACTAATGATTCAACGATTACAGAGTTCTGCATTAATTATTAAAATTTTACACCTAGAAACAAATAGAAAGAAATGTTTCTCCTTTTTTTGTTTTTTTTTCAACAGTACTTTTATTTATTTATTTTAAAGCAGGTGATTATTTTTTCTTCTGCTCCAGAGTCTTGATTCACTTCCTGCAGGTGTCCTGTTGCTTCTTGAGGGAGAATTCACTAACGCAGGAAGACATTTGCCAGAAAACATCTGTCGGAGAAGGATATTGAATAGTGAAACTATAGTTAGATTGTCGTTTCGGATGAGAGAAGGATGTAGTTCACAAAGAGTGCAGGATGTCTAAAGGCTTATAAAGCACCTCGGTGACACAATGATGTGACTCTAGCAAAACCCTCAGTAGTTTTGTGCACGCTTCACGGTCCTGCAGGGTTAAAATTCCTGAGGGGAAAACAGATGCTAAACCAGAGAGTGCGCTCAAACCGCTGCCACAAAAACCTACGGGCGTCCGACGTTACGCTGCATCTGCACTGTGAGAACAAAACCGGACTGGGCCTTTAGCTGCTGCATCCACCCAGGATGATTCTGGGTTCTGCACCTTCCTCTCAGCTCCTGCACGAGGGGGACGTCGTGGGGGTCATCGCGGCGCTGGAGCTGCTCCGACCCCCCAGGCAGCACCAGCCCCACTGGCCGGCTCGGCTGGGCGCTGCCAGGAACAGCGGCTGGAGAGTAAACACCAGCCTCGCCAACAGAGCCCTTTTCACCAGTTATTATTTTCTGGTTTGCACTAATTATTCCCCTCCTCCTCCCCTCCTAATTTTTTAAAAACTATCCCCGCTCTGAAACGAGAACGGTCCTTCGCCATGCCCTTTTCATTACGCCCTACAGAGGGAATCTAATCTCAAGAACCATAATAAACTGAAAATCCAAGTCTTTTGTGGTTTCCCTGCTCAGAATTTAGGATTAAAGATTTATTTTCAGGCAAAGTGTCAAAGTTGTAACATTTAGAAGTGCTTCTGGACATTTATCTCAATATATCCAAAAGAAATTTTGAAATATTTTCTAAAATTACCCCCCAAAAATTAAATAAAAAAATTTTAACCCTCCTACACCTCCATCCTCACAAACAAGGAGTCAAGCGAGGTCTCTAAAAATGTGATTTCAAATTCCAAACGCAGGAAAAGTGTGCACCAAGAAACCACGCAGTTCCTTTAATAAATGAAAAACGAAGCTTCAGTAAAGAAGCAAAATAAGAAAAAAGTTGTTCAGCGAGAACAAACTACAGATGATATAGCTGATGCTTAAACACACTACGTGACCATACAACTGGGGGAAATAAACCCTCTGGTGACTCAGCAGGAATTTGACAGGATATTACAAATCCTGGAGGAGGTCATAAACCATCACTGCGTTAAAACAGAACTGAAACACTTAAATAAATTGACTGAACTATTTTTACACACTATCACCAGTGGAAAACTCGAGCTGGAAAACACTGCCACAATGCCCCTTTTGTGTAGCACATTCTCATTACGGACTAGAAACGAAGCAGAATCTTATGCAATTTGCGGTTTCTAATAAAAGGAAAGTGCATTTGGAAAAATCAAGCCTCGGTTTTAAAATCTGAAGAATTTCATGACCCCCAATTTAAAGCTGGGGTTTGTTTGGTTTCTTTATACCACTGCCCCAGCTGCAATTGCTTCAACCCTGTCTTGGGGAATCGTGGCGTTATTGTGATATTTCTAAAGGGCCCATCGCGTTGCATTTGCCATCTGGGAAGCAACCTATTAGAGGATTTCCTTCCCCTCGGGGAGGGACAGATAAAGCAAGGCCATTATCTGCTGTAAGCAGGAAATGATGCTAGAAGGGTTCAACTACTTAAGCCTCCTCCTTGAAAGTCTCATTAAGGAGGCAGCAACGTTAAGGTTGAGCCTTAAAGCAAAAGACTTTTAGGCATCAAGGGTTTTGAAAGATGTTCAAGATGTTCAGAAGAGTATGTTCAAGTGTGTGGGAGGGGTTTTCAAAGAGCAAAGGTGTGCAAGTGTTGAATTGCTTCAGGAACTTGGCAGAAAATTCAGGCAGCATGCAAAATTCAGACAAATTGTTCTTTCTGGGACATAAGCCAAAGACACTGACACAATCTTCTAACATTTTGTGACCTTTACTCATGTTTAAGACATACCACGTGTTCCAGGCACGTGATTTACTCTGAAAGACACACTTGCCAAATAGAGTGCAATACCAAGGGGCAGAGATTTTGTTCTTACAATTCAAGTCATGGAATCTAGTGAATATACAATTCCTGTAAGCAAAAACTCTGGAAGAAACGTCAAGTATTTCTCTGCTCCCCACCAAGTCACTCCGGACTCTGCAGAAACAAGAGCTGCCAATGGGATACCAAGAAACAACTGGTTTCTGCTGCCTTGTGTTCCAAAAATATTCAAGCAAAGTCTAGCCTAAAAGAGCCACTGAATAGAGTTACAAAACAAAACAGAACAAATTCAGGAAAGCAGAAATTTTACCTTCAGTAAATAAAGAGAACTCTGGTTCTGGGGAGAGTGGAAAAATTATCTGGCATCTTCCTAACCTTTGCATAATTAATAAATCCTCTGAGAAACAGCAGAAAACCTAGATGGAAGAAACATATTAGTCCAGTTAACACAGGTGTTGCTTCTTCAACTAGAGAGGAGGCAGTTCAACTTGCCATTACTAGTAGAGTGACCTAAGTCACTGGGATGCACAATAGCTGACTCAATAAATTTTTTTTGTATCAGTGACACCTATCTTTTCATTTAAGGCAATCTCAAGAACAAGCTTTCCTTGGGCAATCACAAAACTTTAGACTCCAAATGAGATCCAGTCACTTGGTGGAAAAAGAAAAAAAGACAGACCACAACCCCACTCTTGCATTTAAGATTAAAACCCTGACTGCACTGCACAGAGTTTTCAAGCATGCGCTCCCTCCCTCCCCAAACCAACACTCACCTAGTACGAGGAAGACCCACCAAAGCCAATACTGGCCATCAAAGTAACCAGGAAAATAAGTGGAGAACTAAAAAAAAAAAAAAAAATTACAAGTTGGAGCACATACAAGTTTCTGAACCCAAATCTATTCTCACCGATTTCAGCAGTAGCCAGATCAATCCCACTGCACACAGGAGGGTTTACAGAACGCCACGCTTCATCAGCTGCACAGACTGCAGGGAACAAGCTACCTCCACTAACTTTCACTTCAAGTTTTTCTACACACATCAGACCAACTCTAACCAAGGGGAACGGAACACTCAATACCAGCCGTGAACTCCTGCCATCAGTGAAGCAGAAGGACACCACTGGGCAAATACTCCTGTTTTCCCTGACATCTCTGATGCTTCTAAAGCACAGCTGCAGTTTCTGAGAGGGAAGCCCAGGGCTGCAGCAGCGCATCACATGAATTACACCGTAAGGTCGGCTAGCAGAGCAAACAAAAGTACAGTTGGAAAAAAGAAATCCCAAATTTGTGGAACTCTCTGACAAGATTTTCATTCAACAGGCAGTCATTTTCCCGACAGAAAGGCACCAACACTGTCACAGCGCTGAAGTTCCCTACGTCAGTGGTAAAGATAGTATAAATTTTCTTTTACTCTCTTCAAGTTTAAAAACATAACAAAAGGCAAGCTTGTTACCAAAGTTAAATCAAATCCACAGTTCAAGTCACCTGTTTCTGTCACTTTTCTTAATCCAGCAAACGGTTCTTAACACCAGTTGCAAGATGACCCCAAAAATCTTAACTTTCTACAGAAAAAGTTAACAGATGCTGTATTTACAAGTCACAATTCCTAGCCCAAAGAGCTCAGGTATGAAGTGACAGCCCTAACACTGACGCTCTCTACTACTACTTATGCACAGCTAATGAGACTTTTTCACTTGATATTTAAAATCTGGCCTGGGATGTCTGCATGCCCTTTTCACAGACACGTTCTTTTCAGGGGCTCCAAATAAATCTTTTCTGGTATTTTCTCACAGTCCCTCCAAAAAATAGTTTAACTTTTTTTTTTTTTCCCATTCCTTTCAGCATCAGCACATTTATATCCTCTTTTTTTTTTTTTCTCTCAAAAAAGGTTTCCTCTTTCTCCCCCTCCAAGTTTTAAAAATACTGTATCAGCCTTTTTTGCTTCCGTAGGCAGAGCTCTGTGCCCAGCCGACTTTCCATCCTGGCTCCCATAACAGCAACCAGTTCTGATCAGCCATCCCCTTCCTCTCCCTGCGTGATCTGGTGGAGGGGAGCACAGTGGATGTTTTAACGGCCCGGATATGCCCAGTTTATATGAAAATAAAACAAACCATAAAAGCGTGCTTCCTCCTGATCCCCTCCTGCTTGTGCCGCAGGCACGTCGCACCAGAGGGCACCAGCGGGCTTCTCCCATCCATGTGACAAAGCAGCGGCTGCCTCTTCTTCCTCCAGCGAAAAGCAAACCTCACACTTGCTAGTTTTTAAATTCCCATTTCCCTCTTCTCATCGGCTACCCCACATTTTAGAGAATTTTTTTTTTTTTTTCAGAGGAGCAGCTAAGGACCATCATACTGGAGAGAAACATCCCTGTGCTGACGGCAGGGCGTGTTTTATCTGGATAAAGGTTTTCCAAAGATCAGATTGTTGTTACTGCTCAACACACAAACACATTTTGATCCAAATGTGGCTTTGATCCAGAGTGGCTCTGTCAGAGCACGCCATACTTGGCTGTGCAATCTTTACTCTCTTTTAGTACAACAATAATTCCAGCATATAAACAGGACAGAACGATGAAAAAACTCTGTTCTCGGTGAATAAGGGGCTCAGAATCTATTTTGTTATAAAAAGCTAAATTTATAACTAACTTCAGTATAAGTGAGATAAAAACAAGCTAGGGAAAAAGAGTACCAGTGCCTACGTACATGTTTTGACACTACACAACTTACCCTAACAATAAGGATCCACTTAATAAGGGACAGACCAAACCCAGAAATGGCCCCATATCGTCCTGCAGCTGAAGTAGTCAGACAGAAAGAGAGGAAAAATCCAATCCAGTTGAAGAGGAATGCCACTGAGAAAGGAGGAGAAAAGAAGCAAGGTTAGGCCCTCTTTATATTCCAAGGAAAACAAAACCCCTAAAACCCTTCTACACAGGCCTTTCCCGGTGCCACGTAAACGTTAAGTGTGAAACTCTGGTTATTTGGGGTCACTCCTTGAAAAAAAATTAATTTCGCCATGTACTTACTGAAGAAAGTCAGCATGAAAATGCCATCATTTCCTATCCTCAGCTGGTCGGTGTCATCAAAGTCATCCCGTGTCACAAAGTCATCGTCCTGCAAATCAAAGGGAGACAAGACGTGGGGGGATTTAAGTCAGTCCAGTCCGTGCAGCAATCCCAGTCCTGCACGTGGCTCTTCAAGAAAGAGACAGCAAATTGTCCAGCCCTCAAAGAGCAGTGTAGGATGGAGAGATACAAAATGCTTTCTTTACATTTAAGAAAAAACACCCGTGGGGCACAGGGAAGAATTCTAAATCTCAAAAGGCTACAAATGCAAGCAGGAAAAACTCCTGCTTCTCATCCTGAGATGATGCAGGGCATGAAACATCAAGTCACTGGCAGTATTTTTTTTTTTTTAAGATAGTCAAGATCCAGTATGTTCTTGTTCTCACTGTAAAGAATTCTCCTGCTCATTAAAAAAAAAAAAAAACCAACTTAATCTCAACAAGGAATTTGGCTTCTATGAAGAACTATAACAAGCAGCGGACATTCAAAGAGTGGAAGAAGAGGCTGAACAAGAGATTAAAAAAAGCAAAAAGAAATAAAAAATTTAAAAATAATTCTTCTGACAGAATGGCTTTATCATCTGTGTACTGGCTATACTGACCTCTGGAATAGTAAGCAGCAGGAGTATAAAGGGTAGATACGCAAGACGGCTGAACAATTAATCCTAAATATATATAAAAAAAAACCAACAGTGACAGTGCACACAGATACTGTACAGTGCCTCTGTCAGCTTGCCAAATTAATCTGGATAGCACATGCTGGCATTACTGAGCTGTCTGACATCATCACAGCCACCCAGAGGAAAATTTAAAAAAAAAAAATAAAAAAAAATTAGCCACAGAACTCTTGGGACTATGTAATATCACCACCCCAGAAAAAAAAAGTCATGACACTTGCAGGACTAAAACCAGAAATTCTCCAGAAGGGTGTACAGCCAGGAGAGCACACTCACCCTTCCAGGAACCAAGGGAATTGTGGCTTCAGCCTTGGTTCTCTCCGCCTCATCGTAACTAGGCAGTGTTGTGGCCACGTTGTAAGATGGAGGCTTAGGAAATCCTGACTCATCCTTGTAGTCAAAATAAGCTGGGGGGAAAAAAAAAAAAAAAAAAAAAGTTAGACAGAAGGTAACTTGTCAGGTCCTGAAGAACACCGTGCTGGGAATGAGAAGCGCGTGGGATGACTTCAGAAGACCCCAACACCCCGGGCTGCTGAAGCCTGCCCCTCCTGTCCCCTCCCCACCCTGCTAGCCTCTTGCCATCCCAAAACAAAAAGCAAAAAACCCCAGGAGCACCTTATCTGATACAAAGCGCTACACAGAGCACTGCTTTAAAACGCCTGGCTGTATTTATTTTTAAAACAATGATACATGCTGCGTCTCTCCTGACTTCAGTAAACAGAAGCAGTCGTATTTCCAAACTCAAGTGGTTTGAGTGAGTCAAAGAAGCATCACTGCAAGCCTTAGGCCACTGGTGACCAATTTTTCCAGAGACAGACTCCAAGCTGTTTTCTGATGGAGGGGAAAGGGATCCAAACAGAAATCAAACGTGGCGTTTCTGAGCCCCGGTCGCTGGGACGCACTCAGGAACCAGACCTAAGGGGCATCCTTGCGGTTAGTGGGCCAAGGCTGGGTACTCCGCAGGCTGCCTGACAAACACCACCTTCAAACTTCTGTCCCTAGCTGGCCGGCTGTGTGACAGTACGTTGCATTTGATTCACAAATCTTACCTGAACAATTGACTGTGACAGTTCTGGAGGGAAAAAGACGAGAATATCTACCTAAGCCAAAAATACTCTGATAGATAACCGACACAGAACAAGCTAAAAGCTGTCAGCGACAGGACAGAACGATGATTCAGAAGCATAACCCTTCTGACCAAGTCCTTAGTTCCTGAAAACTGCAGAGAGTGAATTCTTTAATCCCTTTTAAGTAACAAGTCCTTTTTGGAAGGAGCACAGTATCATCCAAATGCCAAATAATGAGAGAGGAACCACAAATCCTCACAGCACTTTGATTTTAACTGTCTTCAATCGACTAAGAACACTGTGAAATGTAACTTGAACACCACTTGAAGGGATGACATCAGATGAATGTAGCCAAAATGCATCTTCTAAACCACAAGTAACAACAGTCTCTTCGGATCAATTCTGATCCTTTGCAGCCTTAGTAAGGATGCTGCAATGCCATCTGTCAATAAGGAGAATAATTAAGGAGGTAAGAGGGAACAAGAGAGCAAACCTAGCTATTTCCTTTCAGCTCCATTTACCTGTATTCTCCGCAGAGATGCTGCTGTAAGGTGGAGGGGCATCGTTCACCACTGGTGCAGTCTCGCCTGGCTCCTCTTCATTCTGCAGCTGAACAGACCCACACACCAGAGAGGTTAACGGGGTTTCTCGAGTTCTGTGAAATTACCACTGTAGTTTTAATTGCTTATGGCAGACTCTCCTGGAAGAAGGCTGTTCTACAGCATCACGGGGTGTGCAAGCAGTTGCTCTGCTTCACACCGAAGTACTCCCACTTGAAATGATCAATAAGCCATCTCAGTTTTAATGTGGTTTTAAATCACGTCCTCACACACCTGGACTTTGACAAGGCACAGCATGCACCGTTTCAGTATTTTTCCATTTCCCTGGCACTTCCTCAGATCCCTCAGCTCACACTGTTTAGGAGCTGCAGTCGCATCTCTTTTAGTCGAGGAGATAGCAGGAGATAGCCAAGAAAAGACTCCATCGCTGCCTGTGGCTTTGCTAAGGAAAGGTTTTTTTCCATGGATACATTACGTAATGATCCATATCGGTATGAAACCTGCCATTTCCCTTCAACCTTTCACACCATATGACTGAAAAGGAGACAGTTTATTTTGTGCACTGCACTTCCCACAGACCCTGTATAAATAACCGTGCAGCTTATCAAATCTAGTGTCACTTGCCTGAAGCAGGTATGAAAAGGCAGGCTCTGATCAGAGAAGCTAGTCCTTACCAGGCCAGGAGCCTTCAAAGCAGAAGGCACCAGAAAGGAATTTACAAACCAGCTGCCATCTAGTTTTTTTCTTCTTTCTGTTTCTCATTATCTTATCAACAAAGAAACCGAGTTTTCATGCAGAAAGACAACTCGTTTCAAAAAAAGGACCTTGGGACCGAACCACTGGCCTGAACAGAGAGGCTCTACTCTCTTTTGTAATCACCACAAAGCAGCAGCAATCCTGCAGCTTCTTCCCTATCACCTTCTTGAACTATCCCCCCTGCACACCCCTGCCAATACTCTTGAAGCCATCCATTATTTTGCTTTCTTTTCTTTGGAGAGACATGTTGCCATTCAAGTCCTTCCCAAGCATTTAAGGGGAGGGGGGGGGAAATTTCTTCTTAATTTACTTATCAGGAAAAAAAAAAAAATCAGCTCACACTTCTAAATGAAAGCCTTGTTTTATACATAAGTGTTCTGTGTCTTGGCTTTTTATTCCTTTTGCTGCCTCAGATCAAATATCAGACTACATCTGTGCCCTCTGTGAAAGTCAAAGCCAGAACTTTTTCAGATGTTTTAAGCACAATTCGTTGGACATTTGCATCCCAACGACAGCTGTGGGTCTGAACTGTGAGACATCTGTGTCCTGCAAGCTTGCCGAGTGGAGCGTGGATTGTTTCCTTTCCTCTGCCATGAACTGAGCATGAACGAGCACGGACGGAACGAGTAACTGCAGGTCGGTGGTTCATCACACCGCGGCCAGACACCGTGTCCCCGCTGGCTTTTCAGCTCCTGGGCGTGGAGGCTGCCGTCCTCCCCGCTGCATCACAGCACAACAGGGTTGTGATCCCCGCTGCACCACAACCCACGCCAGTTATGTCAAACAGACTTTAAACACACCTGGTGTTAAAGGAGTTTAACCTCGAGGGGTTTAAATGCCTTGGGTTAGTAGGCGATGACATGAGCAGTTCTGTGGGCAGGTCCAAGGGGTCGGCCAAGAAACACCACCTGGAAGCACTGGGACAGACTCAGCAGCACTGTCACCCAGTCGAGCTGTGCTGAAACAACAGACCACCACAGAAACAGGACTGTTTCACCTTGCATGAAGCTCACCTTGCTGCTCCAACAGCAAGCCTCCATCCTCTCCCCATTCACATTTTCCAAACGGGAGAGGTGGGGAAAAAAAAAAAAAAAGGGAGCTGGTCAGCCCCAAGCTTTTAGGGTAAGAACTCCCCACGTGGCACAAAGCTGAAGCACTTCCTTGAAGAAGGAGAAATTAATTAAGTGATGCGGATGAAAATTTAATCCCTATTATGCCAAGAGCACCTCCTAGCACAGACACTGTGGCTGTCAGCAGCAGACATCTCAAATGCTGGTCCCCGGCCAGCCGTGAGCCCACACCAAATCAACCCCCTCCTGCACCCCGGGAGCGAGGCCGCAGGGTACACGGGGCAGAGGGGGCAGGTACCTGCCTCCAGGACTGCAGCTTGAATCAGCCTCAGGGCATCAAGCAATTAACACGAAAAGGGGCAGCAGCTCCTACAACAGCAAGGCATCTTCATCTTTTTCAAACCAGCTGACTCAGCATGAGTCCCTGCCAAGAACAAAAAAGGCCTTATTTTATAAACCGCATGGAGTTCAGTCATTAGAAAAAAAAAATGCAAACTAACTTGTGAAGTAATTGCCTATTAAAATAACCTTTAAAAAAAAAATTTTAAAAGAGCACTGATGGAGAAATTCAAGAGCAGCCTGCACACAGCACGAGAGGGGCAACCCTAAGGGATAACGCAGCAAAATGTAGCATCAAACTAGTTGATTCAGTCTGTCCCTGCTCCACCATGCTTATTTTCAGTCTATCCATGAAAATTCAATTCCTCTCCCCTTTTTTTTCCTTCTACCTATGCAGGGCCCATATTCTTTATTCTTCCTTCTCTTCAGGAAGGAGGAAGGGCTCTGACACAGTGGGGATGCCCTGGATACCGAATGCCCTGCAGTACCTGCTCTCCTAGTGAGGGGGTGGCAGAAATTAAATCCCTGATGTTTTTAAGGAGGAAAACATAAACAACCTAAAAGAACAATCACCAAGAAGGGGGAAGGAAGGCACTAGATGTGACAACATTGGAAGAGATGAAGCAAAAGGAGACACAAACAGTTGAGTGTAATATTAATCCCTACCACTGGAATTCTTACAAGGTTCTTCTTTCAACAGCAAAAAGAAATACATAATCTTACAACATGCAGGAGAAAGCAAGCTGAACTTACTGCCGGCTTCAAACCATTACGATTCAGGTAATGGCAGAAGAGACGCAGTCCCTTTCTGAAGTGGAGCTAGAGGCTGTAGGAGGTACACACTTAGAGACAACAGATTTTTCTTCTAATGGACAAGGTACACAAATGCCTTCCAGCCCTCCTAATGATTCCAGGCATCTAAAATTCAACTAAGTGCTTATTCGCAGAGCAGTAAGGGTTCACGTGACAGGAAGGACGAGTTCATCGAGCCCTCGCCCTGGCACTCGCCACGGGCTCCTCGGTGGGCAGACGATGCCCCCGGCCGCGGCCCGAAGCCCTCGGCACCCTGAGAACCCCTCAAAGCAGCAGCTGGCTGCGGCCTGTTTTGCTGAGGGTATTCCTTCTTTGAGTCACTGATGGATTTTAGCTCTTAAAAGTATGACTCTTATATTTGTGGCATTAAAAACCAGACCGTCTTTACTGCAACGCATACAGTTAAGAGTTTGGCTGTGATTTTTTTTTCACTGGATTGCTAAAACAACAGAAAGTTGCCTGGCAGAACGGGGTAAGACGCAGGGATTTTCAAAAAAAACGCCATCAGAAGCTTGGCTCCAAGCAAGACATCGCCTCTGTCTGCCACTTCCCCCTGGCTGAGACGAATCCTGGGTAAATACACACAGCACAGCAGCATTGAAGTTTACAACTGACAAAACGTTTTGAAATATTTCCCTGTAAACTTTGAAGAAAGCACTTCCAATAAATATATTTGTTAATTCTTCCAAATTTGCTAAACATTGCGCATGGTCTGCTGACAGAGTTTGGGATTTATTTTTCTTTTTAACCTCCCCTTGCCCCAAGCCCTCAGGCTGCACACAAATACTCTTTACACTAAATCAGCATTACTATAAGCTTTGCCTTAGCAATGTATCATCAGTAATACATTAACTCAGCCATATGTCATCAACATTTACTGCATTTCAGTCCTTATTTTCTGTTCTGGCACACAAGGTAGAACGGCACAGAAAGCCCACAGAGGAATTCTAGAATGAAGATAAGCCTAATCAGATCTCAGTTTTGTTGTTACTATGGTTTCTCTGAGATTCCAAAAAGACAAGATATTAAATCTAATGACAGAAAGGCAATCAATATTTTTTTAAAAGGTGACAGGATTGATTTTTTTTCAGAACAATGAAATCATAACCTTTGCAAGCCAAATGTTTAAAAACAAAAAAATAATGTGTACCACTACAAAATCTGAGAGTACTCCAGCAAGGGAACAGCCTGCCCACCGAAAAGTTATGCTTCATCCTCATTGCAACACACTTTATTTTTCTCCTTCCATCTCTGGCCTTTTGGAAGCAAATGGAAGTCGCTACCAGTTCTGAAGGGAAGAGGATTATTTTTACTGCCTTCTGCTTCATTTTAAACATACCCCGATCTGAAATGCTGACTTCTGCCCAATGCTGTTGCAGATTCCTGTAACTTTGTACCAGCTTACTGATCAGCAGGAATAACGACAAGCTAGTTGACAAGTCAACCCACAGGCATCAGCCTTCTCCTCGATGAGCAAATAACTGTTTTCTCCCGTAGGCACTCCCAGCTCATTCACCCGCAGGAGTGACAAGTCGCGCCGTGGAAGCGAACCCGCCGTGGCTCCTCCTTGCCCCGGGAGATGCCGATGCTCCTGCCCAAGCCTCGCACCACGGAACCGGTTCTGCCCAGGGCCCGGAGCCTGTGCTCCAGCTCTGCGGAACGACCTCCTGAGGTCTCCACCAACCTGAGCTACTCCTTCCCTTCAATAAAGGACTGAAAACCGTCCACTCCGCCTCCTACAAAATGCTTTTTTTTTTTTTTTCCTCCCAGCTGGACCAGCTCCTGGGTGCTCCCCCAGAGCAGGATGCACAGACCACAAACCAGCGGGAGCATCTGCCTGAAGGGTATGTTTGCAATGACCCTCCCAGCTCCCAAAGTAAAAACACAAATCAGAATGTAATTTTTGTCCCTCAAAACACAACCCGTGCTCACGAGGATGTTGTTCTTCACTGACTCACTGCAGTTAATGGCCTTACAACATGGAAATACGCCTTGGTCCTGGGAAACACGCTGACCTGACTCCATCGTCTCTGTTCAAATTATACTTTTTTGTATAACTTGAATTATACTGGTCTGGCTAGACTGTAAACAAGCACTCGGGCCAGCACAGACCTGTGCCTGCAGACTGTCCTTAGGTCTGAGCATTCAAGGTCTTAATGCAGAAGAAGTAGGTTTTAATCTCAGATAGCTGTAATTAAATTTCACATGCTTAACAAAGCATAAGGGCTTACCGTAATATTTAGGATCAGATTAAAATTTTTTTCTGGACATTAAGACATCACATAAAGAATTCTGGATCTTTTAAGCATTTTAAAATATCACATTTTTAAAATTATCATATGAAGTAGGATATAAGTATCTTCAATGAAAAAAAAAAACCCACTGTTCCACCATGTATGAAATTTGGATCTTTCACAAGAAGAGGCAGAAACAGAATGAACAGATACACCTGAATATTGACTTTTTCTTATTAGTTCCAATGACAAAGAATAATAATTCACATACACACAGAACTTCCGCTACTTGCTTTCGGTATGGTACTTTTAGAACATGATGCCAAGCCCACATCAAGAGGTACCACATCTCCTGTGAGCCACTGAATAACTCGAAGGTCTGAGGGACTGTTCCTACCTCTACGACTGCTTCCTACGTCTGAGGTTTTGGAGCCCCGCTGAATTTTAGTGATGAGAGACACGTCACCAAAGCAGCCCAGCTAAGAGTCCAACACAGTCCTGATACCTGAGATAATATTTTATTAAACAGTTTGCACGCAAGGCTACTTTCTCCCGTTACACAAGCTACGATGATACCGGCCTACTCCTGTTTCACTGCCTCTTCCAAGTCCTTTGATATTTTAGAGATGGAATATATTTTAATTCTGTCGTTACTTTTTCACACAGAATCACTAAAACCTTGCAAAGTCACCTGAGAGATAATCTTGCCTACAGGAGTAGGTATTTCCGAACAAAAGAGTGAGACTGAACACAGACTGGGCTGGACATCGAGCAGCTTCACCCCATCAGCTGCAGCAGAACCCAAGAGTGGCAGCTGTGCAAGAGGCGTGATTTTACTCTGTGACTTTTTTTAAAAAAAAATCTTTACTGGTTTTATGGCAATGGACATCTCCTACTCTCCTTGTCTGAATACCAAAAAAAAAACCAAAACAAAAACACCTGTGTCTTTAGCAAGCACATCTGCACACTACCAGCACCTCACCAAGGAAACAAACAGCCACTGACATCTCTAATTCTAACTGCTGACATTAAAAGATTTGGTATATTCTCATATTTTAGATTCAAACTACGTGCCCGTTTCAACTGAAAAATTAAAGGCAAGCTTAAGGTAAGCACAAGGTGACAACTGACATCTGCCTCCCTGTTTCACTCCAGCCTTCCCCAATACTAAGTCAGCATTGTGGCCCTTCATGGATTTAAACTGTATTCACCTTGTATCTTCAGCAACACATTTTTTCCACAGTTTCATTGAAAGAAAACCAAACAACTGGCAAAAATCTTTGGGTTTTGTGTTTCCCACAGGCACCTCCCCTTATGAAATGATTCATGATCCATGTTAGCCTGCAACAAGTGGAACAGGAAGAAATATCACTTAAAAAGGAACAGGTCTTCGTTATTTAACACACCCACCATTTTCTAGGTGGGTTTACATTACTCACGTACATCTCTCATATTTTCAAATGCTTCAAGTAAAAAGCATGCCTCTGCTAACATACAGTGTAAATAAGCCTATTAAAAGCCTGGCTATTTTTCCCAGAATGGAAGCTTGTTTCTATTCTAAGGATGAAATAAAGTTCTGCCACTGAACTGACAATCCAGGCCTTCTGCGCAGAAGGCTTTAAGCCACCTAAATCCTAACAACATCCCTGTCTAACTATCCCAAAGGCAGGTCTAAGTGACAACAGCCTCCCAGCGTCCCTTTTTGGGACACGGCACCACCCAGAATAATGACAGCAGGGCGTGCTGCAGCCTTCCCTCCTCCCCAACATCTCCCACTTCCACCTCCAAGAAGCACAGCCATGTCACCCGGCCTGCAGAGGAGGAACCGAAACAGCGCTCTGCCCCGGTCACCCTGCCTGGCTCCCACTCACCACCCCGGCCCGTGCTCCCGATGCAAGCCGAGATCCTTTTTCTGGAGTTTTAGCTTTATTCTTCATCGAGCTGCACTTCCTCAGTATATTAGATGAGCCTGCCACATCATCCAAAGGCGTCATCGCAGGCTATTTTTTAATCAGATTATCTAACTCCTGAACAAAGCACAAGGGCTAGAAAGTTAGCTTTAAGAAAATAAAACATAGGGCATGGAACAGCCCTTTCACACTGCACGTACTGGTGAATGCACCACAGGTTGTGAGTCTGCAGTGAGGGAGGCTGCTGGGGGTGCGTGGCCCACCCCTCGGCTGCAGGGCTGAGGAATGGGGGGACGAAGAAACGCACAGGTTTCACTCAGTTATCAATTTCTGTTGTCCTCAAATCATCCTCATCAACGATCACCATTTTTTCTGAAAATACACACACTCAAGGAATCCTACTAATGTTTTACATGTTCAGTAGTGCCCACACCCCAACAGAGCTGCTCCTACACACAGGCCGACACAGCAGGAACACCTCCCGGCGCAGGGGTTCCGCGGCGGCACGCTGGGACGGGGTATCGTGTCCAGCCGTACAGGAACCGCCTAGTTCTGTGACAAACTCCACTAATGCCTTACCCCACTCCCCTCAAATCACCAAGTTTTCAAGTTATCAGTTCTCCTCCACTGCCTCATAATCCAGTAACTTTATTAAAGATTAAATGAGCTTGTTCTGAATCCCTACATGCTACCTCTCCTTACTGTCCTGTATTCAGCTCTAGCCCTTATGGTTATCAATTCACTTCGTTGGCACGTGGTATGTTCGTTAATTTTACATTCATACACACAATAAGTTTCAATGTAGAGGAAAAAAATCGACACATTCAATGCTAGAGAGACTCTCCCACCCTCTCATCTCCTCTTCATCTAAATACCAACTCTGTGTTTTTAGTTTCACAGCTCGCAGGGTTTTTGGAGCAACACATTAGGAACCAGTTCAGCAATAACACACTTTACAACAATACGAGCGCCGGGGTTCTGGCAGAGCACAAGAGGAAAAAAAAAATAAAAAGAGCAATTTCTAAACAGCTACACAAAAATAAATACCATGACATGTGAATTTCTGATTCTGCACTCCAGTTACACCAGCCCTCTCACCGGGCCTCCATTATCTGTTTGCCTTTAGCACTATAAACCCTTCGGGCACAGCCTGCCTCCCTAATCTCTGCAGTGCCACGCAGTTACGCTCTACAGCAACAGCGGTGTCGGGGTGTCTCGGATGGGTCAGCAGGACCTGGCAAAATGACAGCTTCACACGTTTCTCTTTGAGGAAACCAGGACTGCGTTTATCCGTCAGGTAGAGAGGCACCGAAGAGCAATGCAATAAAAGTCCCGCAGCACATTTTGTCACCCGTTTCCACGGGCTCAAGGCGGTGGGACATGAAGGCAGATCCCTTCGTAAAGGACATTTGTGAAGACGTTTGCCAGGGTCAACACCAACGGCGGGGCTCTGACAGGAAAGGCGATTAGTGAAGAGACCTGGCTATTTGTACCTACCATTTCCGAGAACAACAACTAAGAGATTTATCTTTGTAAGTGGGCACATCTGTTTTGCATGGAACAACAACAACAAAAAAAGCCTAAGTTTTACTTAACTTCTACGTTTCTAGTATGTAAAAACCAGACCTTCAGCTGTCACGATGAGACTAATATTCAATCCCAAGGGAAAGTGCATCTCGTATTCTGAAGAGAGCGAGCCTACCCACGCTGAAAACGCTACCAAGGCAAAATCCTAACACAAGGGCTTCTGATAAGAACCTCGGTGAGGCAGGGGAGAGGCCAGGTACTGTTTTGAGGGATTTCTCCTGTAGTTTAAGGAACGAAGTCTCCACGTCTGTGTGTCACAGACACACACCAGCAGGAGCCGGGTCACACGGCGGGGCCCGACCGACCCCGAGTCCCTCTGTGAGGCTGATACTCCCGACAAAACCCGTCCTCTTCTTCGGGAGGGCGGCAAGGAAGAACAACCCCGAGTTGAGGAGGGAGGTCCTTAAGGACAGCCTCCGGCCTACGGGGATTTCAGTCTGAGCCAGGGGGTACAACACGTAAAAGATGAAATAAAATTAACGGCAACTTCAGGCCAAGCTCGCGGCACCTGGCGGAGCTGCGGGCTGCAGGGGAGCGGCGGCGGAGCCTCCCCGCGGCACGGCAGGGGACCGGGGAGGAAAACGCCCG